GAGACTTTTATAAATTTTATATAATCTTTAAGACATGCACGTTAATGACATTCATACAAATTTAACTTTAGAAAATATTTAACATAATCAAAATTATAACTAATCACATGTTACATTTTTATGAAATTATATAATTTTCATGATGCTTACATCAAAAACATAATGATAAATGTAAGTTAGTGGATAAAATCTGACTTCAGTTTGAAAATCTCATGGACTATCAGCTGATGTAAAATTTTACAAATTTGATTAGGAGCTGTATATTTTGGTTGACAACTATGGTTGTCATAAAAAATTTAGCTACAATGTGCCATTTGTAAACAAAGCTTCATTTTGAGAAATAGATTTTGAAACAAATAATCATGTTCAATGTGTTTGTGTGTTATAGGTTCTGGCTGTTTTTCCGAGATAATCTCAACTCCCCATGCAAACACTGTTCCTGCACTAACAGTAGAGATCATCATCACTTTCCCTCAAAGAGAAGAGATCTTGGTGTGTTAAACCTTTATCTTGGCATTCTGTGGTTCCCTCTGCACAAGCGTCCAACTCTGAGCACTACAGACAATGTCCTATTCCAAAATGACACAGGCTATGTAGCACTTCTTTTCTAATAGTTTTCAGGTTCTTAAAAGGAATTGATTTAAGAATATGAAGTAAGAAATAGTGTGTGTATTAATGTACATGTACACACACACACAGTTCTTCACTGGGTTATACATAATCACTGACTACCAAGAGCTATTTTATTAGTATGTGGGAACCATAAGCAGAACTAAACTATCGTCCTGCCTGAATGCCATCTATGCAAACGTCTGCCGTCTTTCTCGTCCTGGACTCCATGTGGAGTCGTTTTTTCTTATTCCTTACTCAGCATACTGAAACTCACAAAGCTGACTCTAACCTTCCACCCTACACACAGCTGAAGATAAAGAAGATAATGTTTATCAGGTTCCCGCTAAAAGCGGACACATTTTACGTTTAAATGACTCTTTGAAATGATATGCCCTCTTGGATTTATAGTCATTGGGAGCACCTGAAATAATATTAAACACTTTTAGCCTCTGGGAGATGTATTTCAAAGAGCTTGAAATAATATATCTCTAACCAATTATTTGCTCAGGACAGTCCCCAAAAATCCCTGTAGGGTGCCTTAAAAAGAAGCAAAGCTCCTCCCCAGCCCTTGGAGGTGGTGACTCCATTTCCCAGGCTTCCCGCCACGCTCACCCCCACACCACGTGACCATTCCTCCTGGTGGTCCAGGCGAAGAGCGACCTCTGTTGGGCCTAGGGAGAAGTGAGAACTACATTACCCAGAGATCTGTGCGCCAGCCGCCCCTGGCGTTGAGCCAATGAAGGACGAGGAATGGGCATTTCAGTTTGTCCCAACTCTGTTGGGGCGGGACTTCCGGCGTCCTCCTCGTGGCGGACATTGTCGCTGGTCTTTGGTCATTACGCCGGTCCTGGATCTAGATTGAGGTGTCGGGAACGGCGAGGCACGAGTAGAGAAGAGTCGTCACCGCGGCACATCAGGGGATCTGAAGGTCCGCGACAGTGGTGACGGCTTTGCCCGGGTCCCCACCGGATCGTTCGGCGCTCCAGGCCTCGCTCAGCCCACGGAGTCCGATGGCGGCAGCTGCGCTGAGGGACCCGGCTCAGGTAAGTGCCGCGTCCTTCGGGCCTCGCCCGTCCTCACCTTCACCCAACTCCTGAAACCTGGAGTGAAGGGCACCTGCTCACGTCCCTGGCCCGGGCCCCAGTGTCCGGGACAGTGAAGCGCTCGTGGGCGGGGTCCCTATTTCTAACACCCATTGTGACGGGCCGTTAGTGTGACAGGCCTGGGGACCGGCTCCTATAAAGGCCTGGAGGCGCGACTGAGCCGGGAGGGTTCCGGAAACCCAGGATGGCTTTGTGTGTGGAGGGGCAAAGAATGTGAGGCAGCCTCGCGCCTGGATTGGCCCACTGCCATTTTTTTAGAAGACTAGGAGCCATAGCGTTGTGAACAGAAGAGGGACACGGCTTCAATTACACTTTTAAGTTTTACAACAGCTATTTAGAGGAACACAGTGGAAGGGGAACGATAATAGATGGCACACAGGGATTTGGTCCTTTTACAAGGTCACATAGCTGGTAAAAGCACCAAGGAGTGGGACCCAGATATAATGTAGTCATCTCAGGTCACCTGTCTTTAGTGTTGGACCGGGTGACAGGGAAGCCCAGAGCCCATGGAGCCCCACCCTTGTCACCTGCCTCTCAGAACAATTCTCCCAGATTGCCACTAGTACAGAAGTGCTTACAGAGCCCTACAAGGTGAATGGAGGATGTCCATAACCTTACTCACCCCAGCAGTGTGGTCTCTGGAACTGGGGTGTCTTGGGACTCTTAACTTGCCACACTTCCCGGCATTGGGCCTGAGGACCCCAAAGGGATTAAGCACATGATTCTCCTCTAGGCTGGAGTTTATATGGAGTAGTTCTTATTGCTCACAAACAACGGACCAAGATGTGGAAGTTTGTGTCAGGTATAGATACTGGTGTTTCAAGATGCTTGGAAGTGAGGTTGAGCTGGTTCAAGGAACCAAAAGTCTCCTTTCTTTTTGATTGGATCAGAGGTATAAGAGTCAGAATTCAAATGGCTCTGTTAGATGTTGGAGTCTATTCTGGAGGTGACAGGAGAATGGGAGATTTGGAGCACAGGAGGGAAGTAATCTAACCCAGGTCTCATCAGGCTCCCTAGGGTTAGCACGAAGAACAGAATATGAGTGTGAGGGAGGTGGTAGCAAGACCAGGGAGGAGGCTACTGCAGTACTCCAGGTGACTATAGATTGTATGGACTGCAGTGGTGGCTGTGACATGGTAGAAATAGTTGCATTCTGGTTTGGAGGTATGCTCTGACTTTCTGATATTGAAGCTGAGAGAGAAAAAGAGGTGACTGCAAAAGGGTTTTGGGTTTAGCAGCTAGAAGGATAGAAGCCCCATCTCATAGGAGGGGTGAGTAGATAGAAGCATTGTTTTTAATTAAGGATGTCAGGAGTTTGTTATGTCCATGTTAAATGTATAAGATACTTCAGAGAATAAATAAGTGGATATATCAAGTGGGCAGGCGGACACATGGGTTTTGGACTCTCGAGAGGGTTTCAGTATTGGCACTACTCTAAAAGGTGGTGGATAGTGGGCAGACCAGGATGGGGCTCTGTGTCTTAGTCACCTTGCCTTACTCACCTTGTCTTACTCACCTCCCAAGTAGCTGAGACTCCAGGTCTGCTTTACCACAGCTGGCTAATTTTTCTATTTTTTGTAGAGACAGGGTCTCGCTCTTGCTCAGACTGGTCTTGAACTACTGGCCTCAAATGATCCTCCCACCCTGGCCTCCCAAAGTGCTAGGGTTATAAGTGTGAGCCACCACACCTGGCCTAGTTCCCACTCTTATGATCTGATCTAATCTAATCACCACCCAAAGACTCCATCTACAAATACTATCACATTGTATTAGGCTTCATTGCGTTAGTGCTTCAACCTGGGAATTTGGGGCAGACAGAAATATTTAGCCCACAACAATATGGGTCACATTTACTAGAGGGAACCCAGGTCATGATGATAATGTTAATATCAGGCCAGGAAGGGGAGGGTAGTCTCACACTTGGGTATCTGGATGGATGCAGTTGATGGCTCAAACAGAGGTAACAGAGAGAAATGGCCCTGGGGACAGTGTATGAGAGAGGTAACCTGGCAAGTGTTCAAGGCTTCTGAGGGATGTGTGAACATGAAATGATGTAGAGCCGTAGGAGTAATTCAGAGAAGATGACAGCAAAGCCAGATCTAATGCTTATTTATTGCTAGGTGGGCTCATCAGGATCTTATGACTCTTGCTGTGTCCAGAAGTTTCAGTGAGGTGGGTGGATCAGTTTAGGTGCATAAGCAGTTATCTGGGAGAGTCACTGAAGCTGGGATAGTGAGCCACTGGGGCAAGGATTTGAATGAAGGTCAGCAAGAGAGAAAGGCAGTTACTATTAAGAGCAATACAAATTGGAAAGCGCCATGCATTTCTGACATTCCGCAGGTGATTCTGGATGGCTGAGGTTGAATAAAGGGACACAGTCAAGGTGGGAGGCTTCAGAGCAGAGTTTGGGACTGGCTATGACAGCGGGGGACATCAGAGATCTGGATAATACTGGATTCTGTTCAATTTTCATGCACTTTCTGGATGCCTTGTACTGAGTTGCACATAGGAAGGCGGTCTCCTATGACACTTACTACACAGGAGATGCCTATGTTGTGGGATCAGGCTAGAGGAGGCTGTACGAGTACACTTGGGTGAGAGATGTGTGTTGGAGATAGTGATGTGCACATGCAGAGGGAGTGTGAACTTATGTTCCAAGGGCCCTGGCATGAGTGAAGTGTGAACATGAATCTCGGTTGTGTTTGAATGCCATCCTCTAGGGGATTCCAGGGGACTTGCCTCAAAAGAGACAGTGATTCCTTGCTTGCCAGGTTCAGAGATTTGCTCACCTTCCTGTTGTTGCTGATTGAAGGCACAGTGTCCAATGGGACTGTGAGGACAGAGGGGTCATCTGTGGCACTGGCACCTGTTATATTCTGTGAGGTAGGGAGTTGGGGAGGAGGATGAGCTTGGGAAAGATATATGGGGTGATCAACCTGAGGTTCTGGGAGAGATACTGATGATGAATAAACTGTTTCCATCATAGCAGCATTTTGTGACCTTTGAGGACGTGGCCATTTACTTCTCCCAGGAGGAGTGGGAGTTCCTTGATGAGACTCAGAGGCGACTGTACCACAATGTGATGCTGGAGAACTTGGCACTCATAAAATCCCAAGGTAAGGCCTAGATATACCTCCCAGTGTGCTGGCGTCCATCTTTCTTCCTGACCCAGAGGTAGCTCTGTCTATTTCACAGCCAATCCCTGGGCTCTGTTGACTTCCCCAATTTCCTAGCATATGTCTCATTGGGAAAGCACCAAGCTTTCTGTATGGCCCTGAGCAATGCAGTCTGCAAACTGCCCTAACACCTACTGTTTCCAATCATTCAGGGAGGGTCTGGGAGTCAAGAATCTTACAGTCAGCCTAAGGGTCTGTCCTTGCCCGCTTGCTGGCAGGGTGACTCTTTCTATATCTGTGGGACCTCTGTGCCCAGGTTGTGCATTTTACTTCTAGCCAGCATTGCCTCAATTTACCCATGTCAAGAAATGCAAGCACTGTGATTACTTCTTAATTGGGCCATAGGCTTTTCATGAAGACTTTGCTACAAGGTGTTCTTGTAACATTTTTCTATCATGTAGTTTGTTATGTGCTGAGTTGTGTGCCAGTGCTGACCACTCACCTCTCTGTTCTTGTGTTTAGGGCCTGCATGTCACAAGTCCCACATAATTACACAACTAGAATTGGGAGTTGGCCCTGGTTGCTTCACAGGGTTGACATAGCAAGATACTTTATGAGGAGGAGTGACCCTAATGAGTGAAAACTAAGGAAGAGCAGGACACTATGGCTGTTTTCTAATCATACCATGAAGCTCTCCTGTGTTCTTAGTGATTGGGTGTCAATTCCACAGGACACACCTCATTGCTACCTTTTTTTTTAAAATAGTCCTTGCACACCAGATGCAGGCTTTCCATTGGATTCTCTTGGGCCTGGATGCCAGTAACTTGTTCAGCATGTCCATGTTCTCAGCAGATGAGGTCCTAATGAAGGCTTTAGGCAGAGGAGTGAGTAGGAGACCGTGCTTCTCCTCCCTGAAGTGTGCCTCATCTTTTTGCCTTTCTTCTTATAAGGCCTGCCCCATTCCGTCATCTTTAGAGGCCCTTTCCTCAGTTTGCCATCCACTCTCTCATCCTGAGAAAATTTCTGTGAATTCATTCTTTGGCATGTCTGACACATGTTTTCGATGGGAGTACTATCTCCTACCATATTGAACTTGCGCCTCATCAGTATTTCTCTTTTTTCAGGATGTTGGTATGGAACAGCAGATGACAAGGCACCTTCTGCACTGAGTGTTTTTGAAGAATTGTCACAGGGCAGGACTCCAAAGGCAGGTCCATCCAGCCATAAAACTCAACCCTGTGAGACTTGTATCCCAGTCCTGAAGGATACTGTTGACATAGATGAGTTGCAAGCCACATTCTATGGACAGAAATCACACTTGGATAGGACATCAAGAGGTTTCTGGTTGAGTGCAAACCTTTACCAGCTCCAGAAGCTTGATAATGGAGAGAAAGTCTTAACAATGGACGTGGACCAAGCCTCATATGAGAAGAACTGCAGATTTCATGTGTCAGGGAAACTCTTCAGCTTTGAGGAGGTTGCAAAAGACTTTTCAGCCACCTCAGGCCTTCTCCAGCATCAGGCCATTACCAACAGTGAAAGGCCACATGGCAATAGACACTACAGAGTTCCCACTGGAAGAAAGCCTTCCAAGTGTATTGAATCTGTGAAATTTTTTAGTAAGAAATCTGTACTTACTCAACACCAAAATGTTCACACTAGAGAAAGGCCTCATGTGTGCAATGAGTGTGGGAAATCATTTCACCAGAAATCTGTTCTCATTCAACACAAGAAAGTTCACACTGGAGAAAGGCCTTACGAATGCAGTGAATGTGGGAAATGCTTCAGCCGAAGCTCTGCCCTTCTTCAGCATCTGAGAGTTCACACTGGAGAACGGCCATATGAGTGCAGTGAATGTGGAAAATCCTTTAGCCACAGCACTAACCTCAATCGTCACAGGAGAGCCCATACTAGAGCAGGGCCTTATGAGTGCAGTGAATGTGGGAAATCATTTAGTTGCAATACCCACCTCATTCGCCACCAAAGGTTTCACAGTGGAGAAGGGCCTTATGAGTGCAATGAATGTGGGAAATCATTTAGCCAGAAATCTGTACTCATTCAACACCAGAGAGTTCACACTGGAGAAAGGCCTTATGAGTGCAGTGAATGCGGAAAATTTTTTAGCCATAGCTCTGGCCTCTTTCTACACAGGAGAGCTCACACTAGATCAAGGCCTTATGAGTGCAGCAAATGTGGGAAATCATTCAGTTGCAAAACTGTCCTCATTCGCCACCAGACAGTTCATGATGGAGTAAGGCCTTATGAGTGCAGTGAATGTGGGAAATCTTATCGCCAGAAATCTGTCCTCATTCAACACCAGACAGTTCACACTGGACAAAGGCCTTATGAGTGTAGTGAATGTGGCAAATCCTATAGCCAAAGCTCTGCCCTTGTTCAGCATCTGAGAGTTCACACTGGAGAAAGGCCATATGAGTGCAGTGAATGTGGGAAATCTTTTACCCGCAAAAACTACCTCATTGAACATAGGACCGTTCACACTGGGGAAAGACCTTATGAGTGCCATGAGTGCGGCAAATCTTTTCGCCAGATATCTTCCCTCATTCGACATCAAAGAGTTCACACTGCAGCCTTATGGCTGCAGTGAATGTGAAAAATCCTTTTGCCAGTTATCTGTCCTCCTTCGACATCAAAGAGTTCACACTGGAGAAAGGCCTTATGGCTGCAGTGAATGTGGAAAATCTTTTATTTACAAATCTCACCTAATGCGACACCAGACAGTTCACACTAATGAAAGATCTTATGAGTGCAGTGAATGTGGGAAATCCTTTAGCCAAAGCTCTGCCCTCCTTCTGCATCTGGGAGTTCACACTGGTGAAAGGCCATATGAGTGTAGCGAATGTGGGAAACCCTATCGCCAGAAATCTGTCCTCATTCGACACAAGACAGTTCACACTGGAGAAAGGCCATATGAGTGCAGTGAATGTGGGAAATCTTTTACCCACAAAAACTACCTCATTGAACATAGGACCGTTCACACTGGGGAAAGACCTTATGAGTGCCGTGAGTGCAGCAAATCTTTTCGCCAGATATCTGCCCTCATTCGACATCAAAGAGTTCACACTGGAGAAAGGCCTTATGGTTGCAGTAAATGTGGAAAATCCTTTTGCCAGTTATCTGTCCTCCTTCGACATCAAAGGGTTCACACTGAAGAAGGCCTTATAAGTGCAGTGAATGTGGAAAATCCTTTATCTACAAATGTCACCTGATGCAGCATGAGACAATTCATCACTAATGAAATGTCTTATGTGTTCAGTGAGTGTGGGAAATCCTTCAGCCAAAGCTCTGCCTTTTGCATTGGGGATTTCACACTGGAGAAAGATCGTATGAGTGCAGTGAATGTGAGAAATCCTATCCCCCAAAATCTGTCCTTATTCAACTAAAGACAGTTCACTCTGGAGAAAGGCCTTATTAGTTCAGTGAATGTGGGAAATCCTTTAATTGAAGCTGTGGCCTTTTTCAATACAGGAGGGTTCATGTGCGGTGAATATGGCAAACTTTTTTGTTATATTTAACAATGAAGAGTTTCTATAGGGCAGAGGCCTCAGATATGCAATGAATGTGTTTTTCCTTTCTCAGTATGCTGACACTGAAGGCTAGTCTTTGAGAAGAGCCTTCTTCTGATTGCAATCTTACATATCTGAGGATGTACGGATTCCTGTAAGTTTGAGGTATGTGGGAAGCATGTGTAGCTATGTTGTGGACTCTCAGCCTTCCAGTGATCTTTCCAGATTCATTTCATTGGTAGCCTCTGTAGCTGAAGCCATTTCATCTCTACCACCTGGCAGATCCACAGAGTATACATGAGTTACCACCCCAAAGTGCTCAGGGAGGCAGACTTCTTGCATTTGTTGGAGGAAATCTTGAGTAACCTGAGCTCTTAGGTGGTTCTCATTTCCTCCTATCTCATTACTTAGTGTAGAGAACACCCCAGTTTTGGCCCTGGCACCTGATATGAGTTCTGCTGGAGGTTTGCAGAGATGGACTGCCTTTTTCAGGGACATCGTTGGCCTCAGGTAATGCTTCTGATGAAGTTTGTTCAGTTTCTAAGTCACTAAACCAGGAACTGCCTATTGCACATTTTACTGTCTTGTGCAACAATAAAGGCCTTCAAAGTTGGAAGTTTTATTCACTGTGAAGTAGTTTGATAGGATAGTAGGGCTTTACTAGTTTAAAGGAGTAAATAACTTCTGCATTTTTGCCTAGTTTGCATTGTTACTAAGGCCTCCTGGGAGAGACTGCAAGGCACTCTGCTAATTTGTTGCCCAGATCCTGGAGGTCTGTAGGATCAGAGGTCAGTCTGATGAGGGGACAGTTGTGAGAATTTCCATTGCTTCTGGAGACAACATGGAAGTTTTTCTTGTTCATTGGGGAGATCACATAATTCCCTGCAATATTGAGAATTCCTTATTCAGGTCCTGCAGTGAAGCTGTGTTTCTTTTTTTTTTTTTTTTTTTTTGAGATGGGGTCTCACTCTTGCTCAGGCTGGTCTTGAACTCCTGAGCTCAAACAATCCACTCGCGTCAGCCTCCCAGAGTGCTAGGATTACAGGCGTGAGCCACCGCACCCAGCCTGTTTCTTGAAATGTGAAATTCGGTAGTCTCATGTCTCTATAAAACTACAGGGACCTGGCGGGGGGCCATAGTTGGTTTAGAAACATTGGGTTGAGTAATAAGGAGTGAAGCAGACTGCAGTAAACTAGGTAGAATGTTCCTTGTCTGAAGATGTACCCGCAAATGTTCCAGTGACTGTGGCTCAGCAGGATCAGCATGTACAGAAATCTCAGGGCCTTCAGAACTGTGTATTTTGTATAGCTTAAGACAGAGAAAATAATCTAAGGACATTATGAATTCCTGTAGCCTTTCTGGCCTGTTTACCTCAAGGATATTGCTACATAGACAGTGAAAATAGGATGAAGAGAAGGGCAATTGCTGTCCACAGATGTGGCTTTTGTGCTTCAGCCAGCAATCTTAACTCAGGTGGAGTGGCTTTTATTGTTCCCCTGTATTTCCTGCCACTGAGGTATGGCTGCCCCAACAAGGCGTGGGGAATTAGATGGTGGAGACAATAATGATTTACGTAAGTGTAAACCCATGAAGACATCAAGGTAAGCAAAATAATGAACCTATCTCACCCACATATTTTCATTGTGCCTTTCAATAATCTGTTCCTGATCCTCCAGGCAATTTTTGATTTATAGTCATTTACAATTGATAGCTCTGCATTTTCACAACTTTCCAAATAGTAATTATAGAGTGTTTTCTCTTTATTGTTTATGGCTTTATTAATGCTACATAATTAGAAACTCATACATGTTGCCTATGTGCAGATTTCATTCTTCTGTGTAGCATTTTCTTCTAAGGATATATGATTCTTTCTTTATCCATCCATCTGCTTATGAACATTTGAGTTATTTTCAAAGTTTGGCTATTGCAAATAAAGCAGCTGCAAATATTTGTGTGTAATTCTTCCTATAGATGCTTGTTTTATTTCTCTTATACTAATAAGTCAGAATGCAATGTCTAAATCAGGGTATAAGTGAATACATAACCTTTTCAGAAACTTCCAAACTAAACTAAAATGCTGGTTCCTTTTTGCATTTCTTCCCAGACTATGTGAGAATTCTATCTTTACTCCTTTGCGTATACATGGCAGAGTCACCTTTTAATGTTAATTTTTTTAAATTTGTTTGTGATGGCATCACACTGTTTTTGAATGTATTTCCCTACATATTCACCTTGTTGAGCATTTTTTTTCATGTGTTTATTTATTAGCCTTAGGTAATTCTTTTTTTTTTTTTTTTTTTTTAAGACAGCGTCTCACTCTTTTTGCCCTGGCTAGAGTGCCGTGGCGTCAGCCTAGCTCACAGCAACCTCAAACTCCTGGGCTCAAGCGATCCTCCTGCCTCAGCTTCCCAAATAGCTGGGACTACAGGCATGCGCCACCATGCCCAGCTAATTTTTTCTATATATTTTTAGTTGTCTGATTAATTTCTTTCTATTTTTAGTAGAGACGGGGTCTTGCTCTTGCTCAGGCTGGTTTCGAACTCCTGAGCTCAAACAATCCGCCCACCTCGGCCTCCCAGAGTGCTAGGATTAAGGCGTGAGCCACCGCGCCCGGCCAGCCTTAGGTAATTCTTGAGGCAAATGTGTATCTGGCCTGTTTTATATGTTATGAATTTTTGGTTAATTTTGTTTTAGTGACAAATAGACAATGAAACAACATATATTTTGGAATTTTATTCATTCGGTGATATGAATGACGTCCTTGATTTTGAATACTCAAAACCTGTCATTTTCTTTGATTTATTTTTGTGGTGTGCACAATGTAACGGCCACCTTTAATATATAAGTTGATGTTTTATCAGCATTATTAACATTTTTCATCACTCTTCTGAGTGTAGATTTTTAATAATAGCATAAATGAAGCCCTAGTTTTTAGTATTTGCCACCTTACTTGATATAAGTAATCCCACCACAACCAATTTCAAATTGCCAACTGACCATGCATAAGTAAAAAGTCACCGATAGCACACTATTCTGTTTCTTTCCTCCTGTTGCATTAGCTTCAAATAACATCAAGCATGTAGGTAATAATAAAACAGTAAAATGATTAAAGAGTAACAGAGTTTCAGTATTCATAACTGAAATAGCTTAACTGATTTAAACTTCACATATTTAAAATATCCATTTGTTTTCCTTAACATATAAAATTACTGATACAAGGGCATAGGTTATCTTTTGTAATGGCTGTTTTCAAATATATACAGAAGTGGAAAAGCCTCTTGTGAAGCTCCATGAACTCCTCCTCGGTCTTCCATTATTTATGATCTTTCTTGTTTCATGTATTCTTATACACACTAGTGATTTATTTTACTGATAAACCCAGACATAATGCAATTTAATGCATAACTTCTTTAGTATGGTTTTCAAAAATGTATACATTTTTCCTACTGCTGATATTTTACACAAAATAAAAATAATTTAAAATGTCATGTATGTTGAATTTCATTAATTTTCTCAAAAAATGTGTTTTTTCAGTCATACTAAGGTGAATCAGGTACAAAATGTGTTTTTTGGCTTTTGTAGTTGTGGCTTGGTTGGTTGTTAACTTATAGGTACCCCTTACTCTTTATTATTTACTGGTTGGGTTGAAGTGATAAGTCACGTGTCCATCACAATTGATGGCATTTTGGATTTGGCTTTTTGCATCTTTCTTACTCTTTACATGCTGATCCTTTTTAGGTTTTCTCTAAAGCAGATAGTGAGGTGGGTGATTGAGATCTTGTCAGTGGGAACTGATGTGTGATGGTGACACACCTAGAAATACAGTGTGACTACATTTTGCCAGCACACAGTGGCACAACGTGGAAACACATTCGGGTATCAGATGTGATGGGTGTGCGGTGAGGACGCTGCAGCCCAGCCTGGACAAACACACATGCATAACTGGGAGGACTTGTGGGACAGGTGTGTGATCATGACACACCTCAGCACATCTTGGGGATACTTCCCATCTACACCAGGAACATAGTGTGACAGACGTGGGATGCTCACATTCCGGTACAACCCAGACGTGCATATACCACAGCCATGATGCTAAAGGTGTGTGAGAGGCATAAGACACCCACGGCTGGTATATGTGAGACACACCAATGATCTGAGAAACAGAGTTGAGCTATTGACGTACCACAGCAAGTAAGGGGACACAAACAAATACTCCATGGAGACTTGCGGGACAGGCATGTAGTAGGGAATCACGTGGCCTGCTGTGTGGGACATACACACAGTCGTAGAGTTTCTGTGGACTAAGTGTGATGAGACAGGTACAGCCTGGATTGGGAAGAACGGTCCCCTCCCCCATCACTGCAGGTTCGACAATGCGCTGATGGGCCTCAGAAGAGAACAGCGTAGTCTAGGTCAGAAGGCTCATGGTGTCTTCACAATCATCCCTTGTTTCCTAAGGCCTGAACCAAGCTGCTGCTGATTTGGGAGATGATTTTAGTGGGAGCACAGACACATCAAGTGGCATAAGTGGACACCCCAAAAAAGCTCATCTTTTTTCCCCCTCCTCTTTCCCTCCTGATTGTTGTCAGGAGAAAGTCTTGGGTTATAATCAAATCTGTGATGCTTCCCTCCCTTACTGTTTGTAATTTCTCTTTTGAACAATGGAAGCAGTCCCTCACCACGGGCTCTGACGCCCCCCTTTTCCTCATAGGCAGCACTGTCCTCACATCTGGATCATGAACATGCCCCTTTCCCTGGTTTCCTGAGAGCACGCTGAGGGTGCCAGGGCTGGACTGTGTGCTGCCTCCTCTTCCTCCCACGAGTCCTCAACACCTGCTGCCCTGCAGCCTCAAACAGACCCACAGAGATTGGCCTCTTCCTACTCTGCGACTCTGTCCACACCCGTGGCCTTTCTGTGACCCAGGTTCTTCCTCTTCCAGCTGCCTGGCATTTCCTGGGGCCTGGAAATCACTGACATTGACATGGTTACTACTTGTGGGACCCAGGAAGCTGTTCCTGCCAAACACTACCCCAGAGTCTTACGATGTTTGTTATCTTTCCTGTGTTTGTCATGGAGTGGGTGACTGGTACTGCGCTGGCTGCTCACCTGCCCCCCCGTCCGTTAGGACTCGGCTCTCCCGTGCCACACGCCATTGCCCAGGTGGAGCCAGGGGCAGAGTCCTGTGAGTCAGCCAGACTTTACTCTTGTCACAGCAGAAAGGGTTTGGATGGCTCAAGTTCCTTGTGAGTGGGAGTTGGGGAGGGTATGACATTGGGGCTGGGCTCAAATAATACCAGGAACTTGTCCTGTGCCCGCCATGGTGTGAGGCCAAGGCCGGTGGCTATACCTGATTTCTACCTTTACCTCTGTCCATTTCCCCACTTGTCAATTCCCCTGACTTCTGGAAAAAGCTATCTCACACCTCTCTGGCCTCCACATCTGACCTGTTCCTCTCTTCTCTGTTCTCTCTCCTGTGCTCTCCAAAGTCGCCACACACTTAACATTACATGAGCTAGTCCTTAGACAGTCCTAGACCACCACCTCCTAGTTGTGATCAGACATTCCATGGCCTGACCAGACCCTTCCTCAGCTGCTGAAAGTCATGTGCACAAAAGTTCACTGCAGCCCCTCGTGGTGTCCTTGTACAGGGTCAGCCTCCCCTAGTCTGTGACATTCAGATGCCCACTACTGCACAGTGATCCTGTATTTGTTCTGTCCCCTGACCTCTGTCCTGTGACAGCAATGCCACGGACTCATCCAAGGGTATGTCTGACACACATTTGCAACAGGGCTTCCGCCTCCCACCAACATCAACATCTGTCTTCAGATTGTTGTCATGGAGTAAAGAGGAACTTTCTGAGCAGTGTTTCCGAGGAGCGTCACTGGAAGAAATTTCAAGGAAGATGAGTCCAACCAGAAGGCCCACTACTGTGAAGTCTACAGCTGTTCTTGAAAAATACTTTCTACTGGCTTTATTCCTTAAAGCTCATGATACCCAAAATGTATTCTCGGTTGAGAGATTAAAAGAAGATATTTACAATGTCTAAAACTGGCAAGGGACTAACACATAGAATAGACAAGAAATATTACTAATCAATAGGAAATTAAGTACCCACAAGAATTAAAAGCAGGGACTTCAAGAGATACTTGCACACCTATGTTCATATTAATAGCAGCATCTGGGCCTGTTCTGGAGGGTCCAAGCTGGGACCCGCCGTCGCGGCAGCCTTTAGAGCACCGGGAACTACATTACCCAGAGGACGCTGCGCTGGGAGGCAGCTGTATTGAGCCGATGAAAGTCCAAAGCAAGGCCATTCCCGTGCACGTGCATCGCGCTGGGGCGGGACTTCCGGAGGCCCCCTAGAGGCCGTCATTTTGGCAGTTCCCAGGTCTGTTCCAGCTCCGGAAGCCTGGGTCGGGACCGAGGGGACTGGACGGAGCAGCCGCGAGAGAATTCGTCTCCCTGCTGCACACAGGCGGGTCTGAGGCTCGACAGCGCCGCCCGGGATGACCCACCCAGGCACGGCTTAGGGACCGCCGCTCCCAGCCCTGCTCCGCCCCGAGTCCTATGGCGGCGGCCACACTGAAGGACCCGGCACAGGTAAGTGCCGCGTCCTCCGGGCTTCACCCGTCCTCACCTTCACCCAAGTCCTAAAGCCCCGAGTGAGGGGTGCCTGCTCACGTCTCTGCAGCCCTGGCCCCGGTGTCCACGATAGTGAGACGCTTGCAGGTGGGGGGTCCCTATTTTTGACATTCAGTGTTGTGGGGGGTGGGAGAGTGTGACAGGCAGAGGGACCGGCACGTGCAAGGGCTTGGCGGTACAACTGAGCCGGGAGTAATCGGGAACCAGGGGTCTGTCTTGTTCCGCAAGGAACAGAGAGTGTGAGGCAGAGTCATACCTGGACTGGTAGGTCGTGAAATTGTACCTTCATTCTGAAGGCCTTGGGAGCCATAGAGACTTGTGCCCAGACAGAGATGAGGTCTGAGTTAAGAGTTTTGAAAGTTTTCCAAGAGCTGCTCAGGAGAAGAACAGATTGGAATGAGGAGAATGAGGACAGTGAGGCATAGGAAGGTTGAGACGTCATCCAAGGCGTAGATCTGGGAAGAGGCAATACTGAGGAGTGAAGCACATAGTCATTTAGCCCAAGTCACCTGGCCTCCGGAGCTGAGCAGCAGTACAGAGAAAGTTTGAGCCCATTGAAACACACCATGGTCCTCACCTTCTATGGCCTGCTTCAGTCCACAGCCCCCCATGACTGAAGAAGCACTTACAGATCATACACAGGAACTAGAGGATGTTCCAGACCCTTACTGTCTCCAACCCCACCCATATGATCTCTGGCCTGGAATTCTTTGCATGCCATTCTCACAGCCCTTGGGTTTGGGAACCTGGAAGAGATTCCAAGCCCAAGTCTAGGGAGAAATCCCCTAGGCTCATCGTGAGTTCAGGCCAAGGGTTGTATGGAGGGGGTTCCCATTTCTGGCCATCAGTGGAAAGAGGTATGGAAGGTTATCCCAGGTACTGGCATGTGGAAATGCATGGAAGTGTGTCTGACCTGGGAAAAGGTACTGTAGATCTCCATTGTTTATCTTAAGGACAAAAAGGAGGGGGCAGGAATGTTGCTGCCTGAGAAGTTGGACATCTATTATGGAGTAAACGGAAGATTTGGATCAGAGGAAGGAGGTGATCTTACTCAGGTCTAAACAGGTATCAGCTGGCTGCAGAGTGGATAACAGAGTTTAGGAGTGAGGAAAGAGGAAGAATGATCAGGAAGCAGGCTACTGCAGTGGTGCAGATGAATGTTGACAGTGTGAACCAGTGTGGTGGCCATGGAGGTGGGAGAAGTGGTTATATTTTGGATCCATTTTTAAGAAGGGCTACCCAGATTTTCTGACTTTGAAGGTGAGACAGATAGGAGTTAGGAATGACACTAAAGTTTTAGTCCTAACAGCTAGAAGGATGGAAATTCCATCAACTGAGATGGGTTAGTTAGTAGTAGAGTGATTTTTATTGGAAATATTGGGAGTTTTCCTTTTGGTATATGAGTAGTCTGACATATTTCGGAGAACAAAAGTATCGTGACATCAAGTGGGCAGCTGGACACAGAGGTCTGGAAATATGAGAATGAGTTTAGGATGGAGTCATCCAAAAGTGGTAGCTACTGTGTGGCCCGGGATGGAGCTGTGGATCACACGTAGGAGGGGAATTCAGGTCATGGTCATAGTACTATTAATATTAGCAGGCCAGAAAGAAGGAGATGAGATTGAGTTTCTTGCTTGCACATCTGGTTAGAGGTGGTAGGCATCACAGACATAAATGTGGGAGAGAAGTAGCCAGGAAGGGACTGTGTGTGGGGAGGATGGTCTGGTGGGTGGGAGGACTTCCAAGGGAACATTAGAGATGATACAGAGTCATAGATGTAATTGAGACAAGACAACATAGGCAGGGCTGCTGCTTATTCATTGCTCTACAGATTTACTAGAATTTTGTGGTGAGCTTTGATGATGTCTGGGGTGTATCACTCTTGCAACTAAGGTCAGTAGATAAAATTGGGGCAAATATCATTTGTGAGAGTCACTATGCTTGATACAGGGACCAATGGGGCAGAGCTTTTAATGAGGATTTAATAGAGAAAGGAGGGGTATGGCTGCTGCAGGGACAGCAAATGCAGTACAGAAGTAGAAGAGGGAAGAATAAAACTCACAGGTGGTTCTCCACAGGTAATGTTGAAGCAAGGTTCAGAGATAGGCAGGAAGACCTTCAAAACAGCATTTAGGGCTGCCCCTGGTATTAGGATCCATGGGAAGTCTCAGGTAATACTGGACCCTATTTGAGTTTGCCAAGCACTCTGTGGATGCCTTGTGCTGAGTAACATGGGGTAAATCAGGGAAATGACTGTAGTGTGGGGCAGGGAGGTGGCAGGGCAGTGGGATTGAGATTGTGGGGTCCAGAGACATGAGAGATGTGCAGTCTAAACAATGATGTGCATGTGGAGAGGGAGTGTGAACTGATGTCCCCAGGACCTTGGGGTTGTGGGCTTAAGGATGATCAGTGACCCAGATTTTACTATGTTGCAAGGCATGATAGGGAAAACCCCAGAGGAACTGCCTGGCCAGAGGGAGTGAGGCCCTACAGTCCACTTCCTGAACTTAGGTGGCATCCGTCTGCCCACCTTCCTTCGTTGCTGAGGATTGGGCACAGTGATTAATGGAACCATGAAAGAACAGCACCAGTGGCATTAGGGTGTGGTGTCTTCTCAAAGGTTGGGAGTTTGGGAGGAGGATGGGAATGGGGTAGATATGTGGGGAAATGGATTGTGGGTCTTTAGGAGAGAGGCTGTGGTTTCATCTGTCCTCATTATGACAGGGTAATGTAACCTTTGAGGATGTGGCCGTGTACTTCTCCTGGGAGGAATGGGGTCTCCTTGATGAGGCTCAGAGACACCTGTACCACAATGTGATGCTGGAGAACTTTGCACTTATATCCTCACTGGGTAAGGCCCTCACACCTACCCCAGTCCCCTGGGCTTGACTCTTTATCTCTCTGCTCTTCCCCAGGGACCCCTTTGTCTTGACATGTGGGCTGTGGTTACTGTTTCCTTCCTCAGTTTCCTGGGTAGGTACTGTCCATACTAGGACTGGGTTGTTTGCATTGCCATCTTCTCTCCCCTGCAGCCCCAACACCTGCTGCCCCAAAGCCTTATAGAGAAGGATTCAGGGTCAGGACTCTTGCAGGGAGCCTAATGGATCCCTCCTTGCTTGCTCTTTTCCTAGCTGGGTGGCTGTGTTGAGATCCATGGCATCTCTGTATCCCAGGTTTTGCTCCCTTTCTCTAGCTAGCAGTTCTTCATACCTGCCTGTGCTAGAATTGCAGTCACTAACACTGGTGCTGCTTACATGCACCAAGAGCAGTTCTTTTGAGACCCTCATTTGAGGATCTTTTTTGGTAACATTTAGTGTTCTTGTGTGTGCTCTGTCATGTGATAAGTTGTTCTGGGCCAGTGCTGGCCACTTAGCAGGGATGAGTCCTTTGTGTATCACAGGATGGTCATGACTCTAGCCATGGAAAGATGGGCTCAGAAAGGGCCTGGCCCTGCTGAAAGGCAGCTAGAGGGGGAATGACATCAGGGCTGTGTTCGCATCATGCCAAGGACCTGTTCAAACCAAACCAGTGTTTTCATGCTAGTGCCAGTGGCCACGCTTTGTCTCTGCCTTTTCTTAACCCTTCTTGATACTTTGCTAGCTTGTTGTTTTTACTCTGACTTCTAGGTCCTGGCTTTCCTACCAACTTTCTGACTCCACCTGCCACCCATTCCTTTCCACTGCCACCTCTGCAGTGTTCTCCAACATTGATCTACATGTAGTATATTGGGTGATGCACACATATCCTTAAATAGTCCTTGAACATCAGCTTTTCAATTGGATTTTTCTGTTCTTGGACAAAGACTCCTGCACAGCATTCACTTGTCAGCAGCAACTAAGGCCCTGCTGAAAGTCATTCACAGAGGAGTGGTTTGGAAACCCTGTGCTCCTCTACTCACTTATGCTATACCCATTCCTTGTATCCTTCATCTTGTGAGGACTCCCGACTTCTGTGACCTTTAGAATCCCAGTACTGCAGTGACTAGGTGACTTAACCTGACTCCAACTCCATCCTGAAAACAATTCCATGTACTCGTTCTTTGATGTGTCAGGCACATACTTGTGATATGACTGCCTCCTGCCACCAAAGACAACATATACCTCACCAGCATTTCTCTGCTTTCAGGTTGTTGGTGTGGTATGGATAATGAGGAGGTACCTTCGGCTCAGTGTGATTCTATGGAAAGAATGTCACAAATCAGGACCCCAAAGCCAGATCCATCAAACCAGAAGGCTCATCTCTGTGAGATATGTGTCCCTACCATGCAAGATATTTTGTACCTGGCTGAGCACCAAGGAACACATAATGAGCAGAAATTGTACACATATGTGGCATGTGGGAAACAATTCTGTTCCAGTGCAAACCTTCGCGAGCACCAGGAAGAGCACAGTGGAGAGAAATCTTACTGCAAAGATATGGACAGGGCCTCCTTTGTGAAGAGCTACAGAATCCATGCATTACAGAAGCCCTTCATCTGTGGGGAGGTTGGGACCAACTTCCTGACCAATGTGGGCCTTCTTTGGCACCAGGTCACTCCTAAAGGAGTGCCACCACACAGTGTTACTGAGTGTGAGGAGGCCTTTCAGAGTGGAAAAAGTCACAAATGTGGTGAATGTGGGAAAACCTTCCGCCGCAAACGTACACTTGTTCAGCATCAGAGAATCCACACTGGAGAAGGACTGTATGAGTGCTGTGAATGTGGGAAAACCTTCAGCTACAAGCATACATTTGTTCAGCACAAGACAGTCCACACTGGAGAAAGGCCTTTTGAGTGCAGCGAATGTGGGAAGGCCTTTAGGTTCAAATGTAAACTTGTTCAGCACCAGCGTATTCACACTGGAGAAAGGCCTTATGAATGTACTGAATGTGGGAAAGCTTTTGGGTATAAATCCAAACTTGTTCGGCACCAGAGAATTCACACTGGAGCAAAACCTTATGAATGTGCTGAATGTGGGAAATTCTTTAGACAGAGTTCCAGCCTTGTTCAACACCAGAGAATTCATACTGGATCAAGGCCTTATGAATGTGAAGATTGTGGGAAATCCTTTAGCCAAAGCTCCATCCTTATTCAGCACCGTAGAGTTCACACTGGAGAAAGGCCTTATAAGTGTGGGGAATGTGGGAAATCTTTTAGACAAAGCTCCAGCCTCATTCAGCACCAGAGAGTTCACACAGGAGCAAGGCCTTATGAATGCAGTGAATGTGGGAAATGCTTTAGCCAAAGCTTCAGCCTTATTCTGCATCGGAGAGTTCATACTGGAGAAAGACCTTATGAATGCAGTGAATGTGGGAAATGCTTTAGCCAAAACTACAGCCTCATTCAACATCATAAACTTCACACCAGATAAAGGCCTCATGAGTACAGCCAATTCAGTCAATAGTCTAATTCAACACCAAAAATTTTGCAACCCAGATAATATCATGAATTCAGTGAATGTGTGAAAGCCTTAGCCAAAGAGATAGCCTTGTTCAGCACTTAGATTGTCCAAACATGCTTATGTGAATAGTTCATTCTTTTTATTGCTGAGTATAGTTTGTTTTATGGATATACCATTATTTTTTATCTATTCATCTGTTAATGGGCATTTGGGTTGCTTTCAGTTTGGGGCTGTTACAAAGCTGCATATTTAAAATGTATAATTTGATGTTTTGATATATTCTTAAACTCTTGAAACCAAAAGTTTCTTTCTGACTGGGCACAGTGGCTCATGCCTGTAACTGTAGCACTTTGGGAAGCTGAGGTTGGAGAATCACTTAAGTCCAGGAGTTTGAGACCAGCCTGGCTAACAGCAAGACCCTGTATCTACAAAAAGAAAAAAGATTTCTTTTTGAGACACAATCTTACCCTGTGGCCCAGGCTAGAGTACAGTGGCATGATCATAGCTCACTGCACCCTTGAACTCCTGGGCTGAAGCAATCCTTTTTCCTTAGCCTCCCAAGTAGCTAAGACTATGGGCACACCCCACCACACCTGGCTATTTTTAAAAATTTTTTTGATAGAAAGATATAGCCTATCTTTTGTAGTAGATATTCTCAAACATGCACAAATGGAAAGGAATATATTATAAAGCCCCATGACCATTTCCCCAATCTTCATCATTCCTGATTGTTTCATGGCTATTCTTGTTTCAGGTATGTTATTGGGTCATTTTACTTATAATTCTTAAGATAATATGTTAATATGTTATTTAATGCATATTCAGAATGCATTTTTCCCAATATGCATCTTTTCATAACTCCAATTTATCACACAAAAATATCTCAAAGCTTCATGAAATGTGTTATCAGTGATTAATTGCTTCAAAATGTGTTTGTTTTTCAAGGCGGATTCATTGCATTCAGGATCCAAACTGTATCCCTATGACTTTTAGTGTATCACATAATCTCTTTTACAATTTGCAAGCATGGCTTTATCATTTTTATTCTTATTTGTTTTAAGTTGCCGTGTCATTTGTTTATTAGCATTTGTCACATCTTCGATTTGGCTTATTGTGCACTTCACCTCAACCTGGAGATACTCCAGATGCACACTGAGAACACTGCCACAGCTATTCAATGTTGATACAACACAGCCTAGACTTCTCGAAACATGTGCCACATCCACAACAAAAAAGACATGTCACAGACATGAGACACACACAACTGGCATATACAAAACACTAAGAAGCTGTGAGATGGAACAGAGCTACTGACACTACAGCAGAAATGCTCCATGAAGACCTGTGGGACAGGCATGCGATAAGGTGCCCCACAGTCTGGTGTGGACCACACCCACACACAGTCACGTGGTCCCTGCTGGGTCCACACATTGGCACAACATGGTGATTAACATATGTTTGATGATGGACTGTAAACACATGAGGATGCCTGGGAGAAGGCAATCAGCCAGAGCCCTTTTAGCAGAAGTCTCTACTTGTGGAGATGTCTACAGAGAAGACTGTGGAATAGCAGTCAGACCAGGATGTGTGTGGAGTATACTTTACAGGAGGGATTAGGCCATGTCTAGCCAATTTCATCAGTGGTTGGTTGAGGATTCTTTGGGAATTACCAGCCATCGTTTCAATGATTTGCATTTTACCCAGAAACACTAGGAGGATCAGTTGGGGTTGAGGTAATGTGCAAGACAGGTGGGGAGGAAGAATGAGCCAGCACGTGTGCAGGTCAAAGCAGAGATGCTTATTCCTTCTTCAGAGTCTCAACTAATACAATAGTGACAATGTTAACAGTAATAGCTGAATACTGGGGCATGAAGCAGGGTACACTGGGAAGTGGTATTTAGAAGGAAGATCAACAAGACTGGAGATAAATCATTGCATCAGTTGTTTCAATGAGGGCTACCAACAACACGGGTCTACATCTAGAACAACACGTTTTATGGGGTGCTATGATCTCTGAGGAGGATACGTTCACACTGACTCCCTGTGTGGTGCACAGCACATGAATACTGCTAAAGAGCACTCTCCCTCTGCTCAACAGGGAAGGCTGAAATGTACAGGAAAATAGCAACTCAGTTTGTCCTACCACTTATCAGCATTGCTCACTCAACCAATCAAGCCCATCCCTTCATTTGAACAGAAGTCATACCTCCCTGCCTTCAGAGGTACCTTTCATAAGCATAGTTATTATAAAGGGTTGCACTAGTAGCATAGTCCCAGAATATAGGCAGTTAACTCTCTTGAGACTGGAACTCAGGGAAGGCTCAGCTTTCAAGTTCTGCAATTTAAGGTTGGAATCCAGGCAACACCCAGCAAATGCAACAAACAGATTGCAACCACAGTGCAAAATGCAGTTCAAAAGATGGTGCTACTTTCCCAGCTGCTGCTGCAATCTGATGGAACCTGTTAGTAAAATAAAAGCAGTGAAATGGTATATCATTCCCATCTGAAGCCAAACTTCCTTGTAGTTTCTGAAGCTGAAAATTTGAGGTGTACTAAGGCCAACAGATCAGGAGGTGATTGCCATTGAGACGATAGCTGTAGCCCCCATTTTTACATCTAAGGACTTATGTACTAAGCAGTACTGAATCTCACAAGATATCGTGGTCACCCACCACTGAGTTGTGATGCCACGTAAACCATGTAAAAGTTCTCTTTGAGGACTGGGGCTGCCTGAGCTTCCTATTCTACACCATTGACATTTGTCCATTCTTATGCTGATACCACATGGAGGGGAAAAGCTCTACACAATGGAATATACTCGGCAATAAAAAGGAATGGACTGATGCATGCAACAGAAAGCAAGAGTCTCAAGAAAAATTATGCAAAGTAAAAGAAGCCAGAAAAATGATTCCATTTATATAAAATTTTTATAACGGTAACACAAATCTCTATAAACATAAATCATTGGTTGTCTGTTGTTAGAGCTGTGAGGGTTGGCTGACAGCCGTGTCATACAAGAAAAGGTTGGGGCCGGGCGCGGTGGCTCACGCCTGTAATCCTAGCTCTCTGGGAGGCCGAGGCGGGCGGATTGTTTGAGCTCAGGAGTTCGAAACCAGCCTGAGCAAGAGCGAGACCCCGTCTCTACCAAAAATAGAAAGAAATTAATTCGACAACTAAAAAATATATAGAAAAAATTAGCCGGGCATGGTGGTGCGTGCCTGTAGTCCCAGCTACTCGGGAGGCTGAGGCAGGAGGATCGCTTGAGCCCAGGAGTTTGAGGTTGCTGTGAGCTAGGCTGATGCCACGGCACTCTAGCCGGGGCAACACAGTGAGACTCTGTCTCAAAAAAAAAAAAAAAAAAAAAAAGGTTGGGGGTGGGGGGAAAGTTCTACATCTTGACCGTGGTGATGATTACCCAGGTGTACACATTTGTCAAAACTCAGTGAACCATACACTTCAAGTAGGTGCCTCTTATTGTTTGTAAATTGTATTTCAATAAAGTGATTAAAAATTCTTGGGTGTTATATATGGGTAATAATTTAATTTCTGGGTGATTTATATGGACAGCCAGGATTTGGAACCACTGGGATCAATAGTCAAACTTTCCCATTTTACAAAGTGAAAAACAGTCAGAAAGCATGGCGAAGGGAATTCAAGGACACACAATTTGTGAATGTCAGACCTTAGTCTAGAATGCAAGTCTCCTAACATCCAACCAGGTTCTCCACACTCTTGTCTTTCAGATCAAGGCCATGCCTGAATTCCTTGAAAGGACAGACCCTATGACTGGGGCCACAGAGCATGGGGTTCACAGTCACCTCCAGGCACCCACACTGCCTGCACTTTTTTTCCTTTTTCTTATTTTCTTTTTTGTTTTTGCACCTTTTTTAAAATTGACTTTTTATTTTTTGTAAAGACAGGGTCTCACTATGTTGTTCAGCCTGGTCTCAAACTCCTGGCCTCAAGTGATCCTCCTGCCTTGGCCTCCCAAAGTGTTGGGATTACAGGTGTGAGCCACCATGCCCAGCCCACCCTGCCTCCACTTTTGAGGGGCAGGGACCACAGAGGCCAAGTTGTTAGATGACAATATAATTCCTTGAGGACAAGCTCAACCTGCCAGCGTGGTGTGTAGAGGAATGTCATCCCTTAGGATTCCTCTTCCTTACCCCAGGACTGGTGTCTCTAGAGAGGAAGACTATCACATACTTGAGGTAGCTGGATGCTGATGGGGCACAAAAAAGAGCCACGAGAGTGCAGATGTCATAGCTTCTCCAAGGTATGATTTTTTTTTCTCTTGAATTCTCAAATTAAGTCCTTCACCTGTCATATGAGATCTTTATTTTCTGTGAGTTCAGTGGACCATGCCAGGTCCCCTCTCCCTTTTTAAAGTCAATTTTCAGATAAATCATTTTTTTCAAAAATATAAATGATGCAAACTTCTTTCAGAGGAAACTGACTCTATAAGTAAATTTCAGCAAATGAAATATGTGTTATATCTGTGAAACCTAGAAAGTCAGTTTTATTAGTATTGTCTGATCATATATGAGACACTTTATTCTAAGAATTATTGTTTAAATTCCTTTTTAGCCTTATTTACTTTTAGAAAACTAATTCATAGTAGGGCTGAGATTGTCAAGGCCTCCTGTTTTACCTTCAATACCTTTAAATATTTTCACTGCCCATTCTAATTCATAAATTCCCCTTTCTCTCTAGACCTGCTTCATAGTCTACGGCCCCCAGAACCTAATATGATTCAGCTAGTAACTTTATTTCATGCATGTTCTCATTTTGTACCTGCCCCCAGTTGACAAGTGTGGCTGCAGAAGAATCCCCAGTCTCTCTTCCCTCATTAATGTAGAGCAAATGTCCTGCAGTCAAAAGACAGCACAACACATCAGCTCTGGATTCTGTCTCCCCTTGACATGTAAAGGGATT